AGCCTAAAACTTTCGAAGAATTAGCTACTCGTGCTTATGACATGAAATTAAGCATGTCAGCGGCTGAAAAGCAGGGACCTCCAGTGCAAGAACTAAGGAAGGGTAAGCAAGATGTTTATAAAGGGGGTAAAGCTTTGGCAGAGAAAGGTGAAGGAAAACAGTCTATGACTATAAATACCAAACCCATCAAGGTGACAACCAATTCAAAGAAAACCCAAGAAATGAAGCTTGGTCCCAAATAGGATAAAAAGAAAGTGTCTTTGAAAGAAAGACAAGAAAAAAAAATCCTTTCCTTGACTCAGATATCGCAAAAATGTTAGAAAAATTTCTGAAAGCTAAGCTCATTCAATTGCCAGAGATGAAGCGACCAGAAGAAGCTAATTGAGTAAATGAACCCAACTACTACAAGTATCATCATTTAATTAGTCACCCTATGGATAAATTTTTTGTCTTAAAAGACAAAATAATGGGCTTATACCAAGATGGGAAAATTGAGTTTGAAGAAGAAACGGCTACAGGAAATGTAGCATTAGCAACTAACATGCTTTCTCCATTTAATGTGTGGAGCAAGATAAAGTTTGGATCCTTTGACTATATAATGTTGCCACCGAATGTAGAGAAGACATCCAACCCTCAAGATAAGGGGGGCAAAGCTTGTGGTTCTATAAGTGGAGAGCTAGACAATGACAGATGGATCCTAGTTACTCGTCAGAGAAGAGGAAAGAAAAGTCCTCCCAAGGACAAGCAAGCACCAAAAAGATCTAAAATGGTGAAACAACAGTCTAGGAAGATGATGCCAAAGATAATGCCAAGAAAATAAGTATGGGCAAGTGTGAAAATTCGATGGTGCAAAGGCCTAAACGACCAATCACCTTGAATGATTTCATGCCAATGCAATTCAAAAATAAAATCCAATTCCCACATCATGTATCCAAATTGATGAAGATGTTGGGGATGAAGGAAAAATTAAGTTCGATTCTAATTCTTCTTATAGTGCAGAAATTACATTTTTTGACAAAGACTTATTATTAAGGTCTACCCTTCATAATCGGCCTCTTTTTGTTCAGGGATATAGTCAAGAACAGAAAATCAATTGAATCCAAATAGATGATGGATCTGCTGTTAACTTACAACCACTAAAAACAATGAAAGAGCTTGGAATGCCTCTCGATGAATTATCGAAGACTCGCTTGATGATCCAAGGTTTCAATCTTGAAGGGCAAATAGCTATAGGAAAAGTTAAACTTTAACTTTTCATTGATGATATGGAATCTAATTCATTGTATCATGTGATTGATGCTAACACAACATACAACATGTTGTTAGGATGACCTTGGATACATCAAAATGTTGTAGTATCGTCGACGCTTAATTAATGTTTCAAATATTATAGAAATGGTCAAGTGAAGATAGTCATAGCGGATGCTAAGCCATTTACTACATCAGAGCACACTTGGCTAATGCTAAGTTCTATTTCGAAAGTACTTTTTTGAAAGAGCTACAATCTAAAGGGGATCAATGAAATGATGAAGGACAATCATCAAAGAAAAAGGGAAAGAAACCGTCTTCATCTACAAAGGAAAATGATTTTATCGAAGGCTTAAAAAATTTGACTTTGCCA